AAGTCCTGCTTCTGACATATTCTAACTGTGGGCAAGTCATTAAATTTCTCAGTGCCACAGAGTAAATCTTCTTAAGTTACAGAGCAATTGTTTAACTGCATTGGTAGAGGGCATTTCCTCTCTGGAAGTACCCTCTCCCCCAAAAAAGAGAAGATCCAGTCTCTCTTTCCCCAAAATATTCATGGGGAAGGACCATCTTCTCTTCTTGTTATTAGTAATATTTTTTCTTCTTTTTTGTATTAAAATAAAAAATTCAAGACAACAGCCTGGCCTAAAATTTTGTTCTGATGCTAAAAATGAAGGAAGAAAGAATAGAGGTGAAGTAATAGAAAGTAAGCTCTTTGAGAATAGAGATTTTTTGTTTTTGTAACCCTACAAAATAGCACATAGCACAGAATATAATGGGTGCTTAAAATGCTGCTTACTGCTATCATAGGACAAATAAGACTAAGAAAGTGTCTTATTAAGATGACTTTTTGTTGCTTTAACTCTTGACCACCATTCCATGCATCTTGAAGAATTAGAGCTCATACATCAAATAAACAAAATAATTTAAAGTTCAAAACACAGTCTTATCCCCTCTTTTAATAGCTCCTCCCTCCCCAAGTGGGGATCTTTCCTTATTAGAGAAAAGAATTTGAGGGGCAACCCACCACCTGATGTGGAGGCTAGTTGTTTACTTGCTGGGTATGTGGTAGGGGGAAATATTTTTAAGGCATGGGGGGACTCAGAGATTCCTTTCGACTTTAACATTCTGTGGTTTCATGATTTGGAACTATAGGCAGCCAAGTCGGAGTTAGGATAGGGGTCCTACTAGTTTGAGGTGGGGAGGAACAGTGAAAAGAGAGTGGAAAGGATTGGCAAAACAGAAACTTCATTTGCTTCACCACAATTTTACCTAGGACCAACAAAAGCTGGTTAGCTAAAGTAAAAAAATGTTATATTCTTTACTGCTAAGTCTTCAAATCATAAACTCAGTAGAAGAATGAGGGTCTTTTTTCTTAACTCAGCAAGGATCAATAGAGTCAGGAAGGAGGTCCTTTGATTCCCAGCTTACAGTTTTATCTGGCTGATATCCTTTCAGTCAACCAGGGTGAGCCATTTCTGACTGCCATTGGCTTCTAGCCCTAACAGGAAGGAAGAGGCTAGTGGTGGTCAGAAATAGCTATCCTTGGATGACCTCCGGAACTATAACAGATTTCATCCTGTTTGAGAAGATGGATATGTCAGGACCTCCTAATACTGAATAATATAAGAACGAACACCAATAAGGATAAACTTCTATGACACTGGATGATTTCCTTCTACTTTTCAATGCTAGACACTATTGATTCTCTACACCCAATTTCCCTCCCATATACACACACAAGAAAAAAACTAGATTATGAAACAAAGGTCACTGGGACAGCCATGCTGATCTTTTTTGACCTTTAGGATAGAAATTTGAATGCAAGTGCTACCGAGTTTTTTTACCTACAAAACTGATACTCTTCCTTTTCCCCAACACCAGACTTTTATTTTAGTCATATTTATTTCAATTATGCAGGCCCATATGTTCTCTGGCTGGATGGTTCAGATGAGCAGCAGTGAAGTCTACCTCTTAGCTGAGTTTATGGCGTACAGAAGTGAATGAATGTCTTCATAAGGCAGCACAGTTATTTACAAGCTAAATGTCAGTGGAACTAATTACTAAATGAGAACACAATGACACTTCCTAATAACAGTGAGAACATACTCTTCTGTTGAATAACAGGACATCTCTTGCACACATTTAAACTTTGGAAAAATAACTCTTTCAGTGATTTTTGGTCTGTACTATTTTGGGCAAAAATGAAGTTAATTTCTTAGAACAATAAAGATTTATTCTTATGATTCATTTACATTTCGAGAGGTTGAGCAGTACCTATATGGTCTAAAACTAACATAGAGAGGTTTGTATATAAATGAAACCAAAAATATACAAAGTATGTAAAATTCTTGCTCTCTTTCTGAACTGTGGGGAAATATTGGAAATTGTAAGATTTTGGTGATGTTCTTTGATTATTTATGGATACAGATGGTTGGGTGCTAGTATGGCCTAAAGTTAAAGGCAAAAGGTGGCATACCTTATTCTTGCTATGGTGCTATTTCTAATTTAATATCATATTAAAAATTACACTTGGATATGTGTGGACCTGGAGTCAGAAGGCCTAATGCTTGGGCTTGAGTTTTGTTTCTGCCACTTAATAGTTGTCTGTTTTTGGTGAATTATTTGACAACTCTCTCTAAGCCTCAATTTTCTCATCTGTAAAATGGATATAATAATACTTGTCTACCTCTATCCCAGAGCTTTTGTGAATAAAGTGCCTTACAAATCACAAGGTGCTATAAAAGTGTGAATTAATTAATGTAAGAATCATTATTATTCAGAAGACTACCATACAGATTACATTGCATGTACTTTATAGACAATCAAAAACGTGACCATAGTTAGAATCACAAATATTTCTAACACTTAAAACTTCAATCACTGACTTATTTATAAATGATGGGTGTGAGGAATTAAATATCCAACAGAAATAACTAAAATCAACTAAGCATTTAACCATGAGTAATAAACAATAAAGTATTTTTGGGGGAGCAAATAAAAGATGCTTTGCTTAATTGTTTATAAATTGTTGAGAAGTAGACCAAATCCTCTCCATATTCAAATTATATAATTTACTCAGTGTGTACAATCTCAACTTTTCAGCAATACAGATAACAACCCTAATAGCTTAATTACAACTTGAAGCTCAAAGAGATAAACATTGCTGTTTCTCTTAACCAGGGGTTACAATTACTTTTAAACATAAGGGAAAGGCACATCTGTGAGAAGAGCTTACTTTGTCAAGAAAGTAACCAGCTACCAGCTGTCATATAAACAGCCAAGAGAGGAAACAGCCGGAGTGAAAAGTAGAGCTACATGCAAAAGTTAAGCAGTGGAGCAGTAGGCATGAGGCACAGTAAACAGGCACTAAATGTAGTTGGGTAGGAGAAAGAAAGGTTTCAGTGTCCAAACAGGCTGCATTTAATGACAATTCTGCCATTCAGTGGAATGGCCATCTCCCCATCCTCCCAAAGCTCTCCAAATTACCTTCGTTGTCAATAGGCCTTTCCCTTCAGCACCATGGAAGGAGGGACAGCGCTCTTGAAAGTAGCATACCGGGCTCCCTCCTTTTATCAATAAAAAACATTCTCCAGAGTATTCTTTCTTCTTTCCTTTTTATTTATTTGGCTAATTAGTTTTTAGAGGTGGGAGGGAGAACAGGGCACATACTTGATGGCACAAACAAATATGAAGGGAATAAATGAAACACTTTTTTTGGGGGGGGTTGTTTTGTCTTAAGAAGATTGTCCTGAGTGAGTCTTCTTTTCACTTGAAGATGGACAGAAGGGCAGAGCAGGCAAGAATTGTTTTATTGGAATAAATGATTTTAGGTTACTGTGCTTAGTTTTGTGAAGGAGGGTCTCAGATCAACTCATTGACAAGTGAGAGCTACAGTTCCTGTATACTGCTATATATTGCTATTTTGTGGGAAAAGTAGCAGTGAAATTTAAATAAACCATGGTCAGTAAAACTGCGCTACTCTTTAACTGAAAAATTAATTTCAAATCAGTAAACATTCATGAATTAATTAGTTAAAGGAATAATAAACTGCTATCCCTCTTTCTCCTTTTCTTTCTCCCTCTCCTAAAAAATAATTTTGTATGGATCCAGAAATAGTTTATCAGCAATGATCCAATAGAGAGGTACATGCGTAGAGTTTCCCAACACACATCACAATCATAAACCCAAACTGAAATACTCAAGGGAAGATTTGAGTATATATTACATTGATTATTACACTGAATACTAAAGTATGCCGGGGCGAAAAAAACCTGCCATTGCTTTTCTTTAGGTTTCCTTGCATTAAAGAGCTAAATTGTACATAGGACTAGAAAACCACCAATTACACCCCAAAGAAGTTGAGTACATCGATGAAAACATAAGATGGGAGATTTTATTTGTTGACTTAGCTAACCATATAGGGATGATCACTTTATCAATATTATAATAAATACTATTTTTAAAAGTTTTTCCCCATTTTGTCTTAAAGAGAGGAAAGAAGGACAGTATTCTAGAAGTTACCAGGTAGAAGCAGAGCAGTGAAGTCAGCCTACATAAAAGCTTCTTAAGGTTAACTGTAAGCTACTAACAGCACCAATAGCTGACAGCTAGCTGCAGCAGATGGGCTTCACAGGTAAACCTTGAGCTGGTTCTATGGAGGCACTTCCAACTTGCTCAGTTCTTCATGCCTCTTCCTCCCACTTACCTTCTCTTCCTTCTCAGCCTCAAGTATTATTTTCACTTATTTCCAGGTCACAGGTTAGTGACAATCACCAAAAAATCCTCTTACACATGGAGTGAATACATCACAGCCATCATCACCATTGCTAGTATCCTTATTTTCCCACAAACTCCTTGACGAAACATTCATTATAATCTCTCAGAAAGCCGACATGCAGACACGGGACCAACACTATAGCAGTGGTTCAACTATCACCAAGTTCTACCCTATGCTAGACCCTGCACAAACTGATCTCTTCAAAGCCCTTCGTACCCAACCCACGGACTGCCCCAACCCCTTTCTAGGTTATTTTTATTATTGATACTATTTCCCCCATGTCTTATAGCAGGATATGACTAGGTGGGAAAACCCATGTGTGACACTTTCAGAGAATGTCATATTTCACATGCTACTCTACCCCCTCCCCCCTCCACAAACACATACACACACCACACACCCTCTTTACTCTGGCGACACAAAGAGAGTGAGTGGAGGAGTGAGTGCAGGGCACTCTGCCTGAGCAGTTGGGGGGCGGGGGGTGGGAAGAGGAGCGCAGCGTAGGGAGAGGAGTGGGAGATCACTGGAGGGGGCGGGGGACTGAGCAGAGGAGAGAGGAAAGGAGCAAGGGGAAAGAAAGAGGGTCGTTCTTACCTGCCCCCAGGTTAAAGGAGATTCTAGCTTCAGCTAGATACGGGGTATCGCTCTTGGACCGGACTCTCCTGATGGGCCGCCGGTCTATATCATCTTCCGAAGATGCCGCCATTAATGTGGGAGGAAGGAGCAGGGTCGCCCGGCGAGCTGAGAGGGAGAAGGAGATGGAGAGAGAGGCGGAAAAGAGGAGGAGGGGAGAGGAAGAGGCGCGCACACATAGAAAGGGGGGATGGGAAGGGAGGAAGGGGGATGGGAAAGGAGAGGGAGGGGGATGGGGAGGAGGGAGAAAAGAGAGGGAAAAAGAAAAAAGAGGGAGAAACAGAGAGAAGGAGAGAATGGGGGGGAAGGGAGAGAAAGAAAATCCGTTAAGGATCTATGGACTGGAGCAGAGATCACGAAATCACTCCTTTCAGTCCAGTGCCCCCACCCACCCACCGCGCCCCTGCAGCCCTCTGCCACAGGGCAAGGGGATTCAGTATCATCTACTGACCCCCAACCCTATCCTGATCCCCAGCTGTCAGCAGAGATAGGAAGCTACAGGCTTGTACCCTGGAGGGGAAAAATAAAATTCTAAGGAAAAGATGCCCAGTCAGCAGTGCACATCTCTCCCTGCCAAATATACTTACCCTGTTCTTCATATGTGTTCACACACTATTATCTTAATAAACAATATTGTCCTGTTGAAGGTGTTCTGGGTTTTTTCGCAGCTCTTGCTTTCCCTTATTAGACTCATTAAGCTGTGGTAGCCTAGATCATTGACCGTTGTAAGGGAAGAGGTGAAAGCTGCCGCATTGGGTATTTCCCTGGGTAACACTACTCTTCAAGTGAAAATTTGACCTTTCTGAAAAGTACTAACTCTTTTTGCTCTGCTTTTTTTTTAAATCCAGGTTGGGTGTGAAGAAAGGCTGAATTTATATATTTCAAGCTAATTCATTGCAATAATGATTCATTAATTCAGTAGACATTTATCAAGTACCTATTACCTGCAAGTACTGAAGTTAGTATATGCAAAGCATTGGTCTAGGTATTGGAGATACAAAGACAGAAAGGAAAAAAATATCTGCCCTTAGAGAACTTATATTATACTATGGTGACACGTACAAAAATAAGTGCAAACAGTAGGCAATGAAAGGGATGATGGAAAGATGAAATGGATAGAGGAAAAGTTGAGGATGGAGACAACATTCATAAGAGGCAGGGAATCAGAACAGGCTTTACAGAGGGACTAACTCTTGAGTGGAGCTTTGAAGATCTGGATTCTAAGCTCCTTGTGGGAAAAGGGATAGTATTCAAGGCATAAAGGAGGCTTCTGCAAATGAATGAAAGAGGGGTAGGGAATGTTTGATTCCAGGGATAGTTAGTGGCATGGTTCGACCAGAATTCAGCATGTGTGAAAGTTGGAGATCGATTATAAAAGGTCTTGAATGTCTGACTGTGGAATTTGTATTTTATTTTAGGAAATGGGGGAACCATTGAAGATTTTGGAACAGGGGAGTGACATGGTCAGACCTGAAGCTCAGGAAGATTATTTTGATAACTGTGTGGAGGGTGAATTGGAAGAGGATAGACAGCAGGAAAGAAAACTAGTCCGGAGATGGTTACAATAGATAGGGCAAGAGGTACAAACTATCCTATACTTAGAATACAAAGGTACTTGGGTGAATATCCTAGGTCTTATGCTTGCTCCCTATGTGGGATGATAGGTTTAACCACTCCGATTCTCAGTTTCCTTATCTATAAAATGGAAATTATTTTTGTACTTTCTAACTTACATAGTTGACAAGAGGAATGTGCTTTATAAACTTTGTAACACTAGAGAAATATTATATAAATTATTGTAATATACTTCCATAACTATCAGCCTTGTTCAGGTTCTTATTACCTCATGCCTGCACTATTGGACTAGCTTCTAAGTGGTGTCCTTTGTCTGAATCATTGCGCAAACTGTCACCAATTAATCTTCCTTAAACATTTTTATCTCCTTGTTCCCTGGCTTTAAAAAAGCCTTTAATGTCTCTATCACCAGTACAATAAAAATTCCAAATCCCTTAGTCTTGTTTTCAAGACTTTTCAACAATGTGTTCTCCAGCCTATCTTAATCTCACCTCCTACAATTCCTTTAGGTGTTCTCTTCAACTAACCTGTATGGGTCTCAGTTTCTTTATCTACAAAATGAGACAGTTGGATCTGTAAGGTTCATTCCAAACTCTACCAGGCTACAATGCTATTAATTACTCCAATCAGGCATTGTTTCCTCAAACTGCCTTATTCATCCATTCCTTTGCATCTCTGATTAGGTTGTCTTTTCCCATGTGACTGGAGTAAGTCTTTACTCTTTCTATTCTACCCAACTCTGCCAATTCTATTCTTCCTCCAGGAAGCTTTCTTCTTTGAACTTTCAAAGCATATATTGATACCTGGCATTTGGCAAGTTGTAGGATGTAATATGGATCAATGGCAAAAATATTAGCTTTGGAGTCAGAAAACCTGGGTTTGATTCTCTGAATCTAGCACCTTAGGGACTTTGGACTACTTACTTTTTTCTGGGCTGCTGTTTCTTCATCTGTTGGAATAGCTGACTTCTAAAATGCCTTGTAGCTCTAATAATGGTATGTATTGCCCTTGAAGTAGTAACTAATGATATGTGTTAGCTTTGTTTGGATGATGAGGTTGAAAGCTCTTAGAGGGTAAAGACTACTAATTACACTTATCTCAAATTTCCCTATCCCTGTTATGTACTCTCCCTCATTTCTGCTTCTTTGAATCCTTGGCTTCTTTCAAGGCTCAGGTCAAGTACTACCTCTGAATATAAAGAAACTGAGACCCACATAGGTTAGTTGAAGAGTCTAAGTAAGGGAATTATAGGAGGTGAAATTGAAATGGTAGGGTGTAGTTTTTCCTGATCCCCAAGCAATTAGGACTCTTCCCCTTCCACACTTCTTTTTGATATTTCACTTTTATATACTCTGCTTTTACTTATATGGCTACCTGCTGTTTCCCTCCAGAAAATGCTGTTTCAAATAATAAGGAAGTTTGGGGGAACAATACCTGATTGGAGTGATAAATAGCATTATTGCATATTAGAGTGGGAATGAACCTTACAGATCCAATTCTCTCATTTTGTAGATAAAAAAACTGAGACCCATATAGGTTAGTTGAAGAGAACATATAAGGGAATTGTAGGAGTTTCATTCCAGTAAAATGGAATCTCTCTGAGGGCAAGGAATGTCTCTCTCTCTCTCTCTCTCTCTCTCTCTCTCTCTCTCTCTCTCTCTCTCATCTATCCATCTATCTATTGTCTATCTGTATATATATATATACATATGGATAACATAGATATATAATAGGTATATATATATAGATATAGATATAGATATATCGATATAGATATATCTACATAATAGATATAGCTTTCACATCACCAGTATCTAACATGTAAAAATTTCTCAATAATAAATGATTAATAAATGCTACATAAATGTTTTTGAATCCTACCTGGTGCCTCATTGACTGTCCTGCATATGGAAGTTATTTTTTAAAAAAACTGATTGATCTTTCTCAGCTTGATGGTGAAGCGCTAAGGTTTGGAACCTGAAGTCAGGAAGATTTAAGTTCAAATCTAGTCTCATATACTTCCCAGCTGTGTGACTGTGAGCCAGTGTCTTAATCTAGGTCTGCCTCAGCTTCCTCATCTGTAAAATGGGGCTAATAACAACACCTATATCACCAGCATTGTTGAGAAGATAAAAAGTGTGATAATATTTGTAAAGTACTTTGTGAACATTAAAGTACTTGATAAATGCTATTGTTTCTATTGTTGTTATTATCATTTGAAGTTAACCTTTATTTGATTTTCCCCTCTTCTTTATGTCCTAGTTCTCCATGGTGAAATGCTTGTTTTCTTACCTGAACGGTAAGTGTGAAAATCCACCTAAGATGGAAAGAACAAAAGCAGCCCCTATTAAATCTTGCTATGAGAAACCATCAACTCCACCTTAATGGTCAAGTGGCAACCAAAAAGTAAAAAGTTTGATGTGTCAGTGTTAGGTCATTCTCTACTCCCTTCTTGAGCACAGCTATAGAATAGGAATCAAGCAGTTGGAAGACTTAGCTTGGCTTTCCTTAGTGTACTTTGAACCTTCCTGAAATAAGACTTGATATACCTACTCATTCCTATATATTTTTTTTCTGTTGGATATCCTATTCGGCTTTTTCCTATGAGAGTTTCTTTCCTTTCTGTAGTGGCTATTGTTTTATTTTATTTGATCAATTTGTCAATCTTTTGAGCTGGTGAAAAGGGTGTTGGATTAGTTATGACTACCTGTTCTTCCACTTTGCTAGAACTCAATCACAATTTATGTAGAGAAAAATTTCCTTGCACTTGAGTTCCCCATTCTTTCAATATTTCAGGAGTTCAGGGAAATAACACCCTCATTCTGGGTTTACTCTTCTTAATAACTTAATGTACTTTGCTGTGTATTATATTCATCTAGATTATTTTTTGGTAGCAATCATGGGCAGCTTTAAAAAAATTCTTGAAAACAATTATAACTTCCATGTTCTTCTTGGCTTTTAACACTTTTCCATTTCTTGTGGTTACCTTCTTGTCTTCTTTCAAAATGATAACATAAAATTAATTAAAACTGAATCTTCCTAGCTTACCTTCTTCAATTTCTCTTCTCTCTATTATTCTTACCTGGTCCCCTTACCATAATTTATTTCATTTATTTATCCATGATTCTAAATTTCACCCTTTCCGACCATCTAATTTCTTAAAAGTTACCTATTATAGTTTATTGCTGAAGTGTAAATCCTTTTCTCCTCTTCTATGCTCTCTTCATTTGGGGTTACAATACAAATATTTCTAAATCTCTTAACCTCTGGGATTCTATGTGTATTCTTGAAAACCTCTTATCATGAAGTGTCATACAACATGGACTAATGAAAACCTCACCAGTCTTGGAATTAAATGCTAAGGTTGAGCCAGGTCATTTCTATTTTAAGGTTCCTTGCAGTTTTAAAATACATTATTTTTAGAACTTCTTTATGATATGTATTTTATTCTCTAAATCTGTAAGCTTCATCTTCTGTTTGATAAATAGTTATCCAAATTAGGTAAATCACATTCTTTCCCTATTCCTCTACAG